ATATGTGTAATAAGAATTATAATGGGGACTGCGGATATGGCTCAAGCAGTAGCACACTCACCTGGTATGCGTAGGGCGCTGGGTTCGATCCTCAGCACCACATAAAATAAAATAAATATGTTATGTCCACCAAAAACTGAAAAATATATATTAAAAAATTTCTCTCTCTCCTCTCTCTAAAAAAAAAGAATCATAATGCATTCCGATGTTATTTAGTTTTCAAAAAATAATAAAATAAATAACAAACAAACAAAAAACACAAACTTATCACCGAAGAGCTCTGACTACACACTTCCTAGAATAGGTAAAATTAAAAAGACTTACCTTACCAAGTGTTGGTGAAAATGTGTACCAACTGGAGCCTTGTAATCTTCTGGTGGGAATGCACAGTGGTATGGTTCACTTTGAAAAATATCTTGTCATTATGGCAACAAGCTTGTAAAAAAGGACTGCAGATGACTTTAGAAATAGCTTTATGAGGAGATCTGAGTAAGGAATTTAATTCATTCAGAAGGCGATACATAGTAGAAGATAAATTGGTAAGCATCAAAGGTGGCTATCATGAAGGGAGCACAATGTTACCAAAAGCTCTAGAGTAAAATCTACACCAGGAACAAGTGATTTGATATTCAATAAGAAACTTCTCTTTCCAATTATCAAATGGATAGAAGAGGAATAACTGATCAAGTAGAGTAATAAAATTTTGATCCAATGGGTCTTCCTGATTAGTTTAAGTGTGAGGCTAATCTTATCATTTACATTAGAAGCATGAAGCATAGATGTCACCCAGACTTATGTCAACAATACCAAATATGCAAACGTGTTGATGGGAGAAAGTGGACAATCCAGGTAGTGACTTTCAGTGTAAGCATTTTTGCTTGTTTCCCTTTCCTTCTTGGCCATTGCATTCACTGTTGTTTTTTTTCCTGGGTTCCTTCCCTATATTTCACTTTTAAATATTGGTTGCTCTTCTGCTTATGAGTCACTCTGCCCCATTGTACTGTGACGTCCCCCATAATAAGTACCACTGGTCATTGCATTTTTCATTACCAAGGATCCCGGATATTTCCTGAAACATGGCAGCATTAGTGCATGCCTATTGAACTAATTAAGTAAATTTTTTAATGACCCTAATGGAAAAGCAGTTCCTCCATTTAGAAGTCATTACTGTAGGTGTTATTCCTATACAGATAGGAGAGCGGCTCACCAGTGGTACCCTGGAGACCTTGCAGGTCCTCACAATAGGCCATGTGAGCACAGCTAAACCACAGTCTGACCTGAGTCTTGGCAGAACACTTTGTGATTCCTTTTGGAGCAAGAGAGATAAAGCATTGTGTTGTGGAGCTCCCAGGAGGCCTTTTCTTACCTGCCTCCTTATCATGCTGGAAGTGGACACAGGTTGATACTTGTCCATCACCCTAGTTTCAGTTGAGCATAGAAATGCCTCCTGGCCTAACATTAGAGGATATCTGCTGGGTGCAAAACAGCTCACTGACAGGTTATGGTGATGGGCTTTTCATAAGCAGAGCAACCCTCTATCTGTGTCGTTTGTCATTGAGCACCTACCAATCAGTATCAATATTTGGGAAGAGGGAAATGGAGATGACAGAATGCTGATGTTGCTTTGCTATGTCTGCAAATAATAAACTATTTGGATCCCTTGAATTCATTATTTTCTTACTGGACATATTGTTGGATGTGTCCAAAACCAAAATAACAGCTGTGGTAGTGGTTTTTATGCCCTTGTTAGCTACCACAGTGTTGCTTAGGGATTGTTTGGCCATGTAACTGATAAATTCTGGTACTGAGTTGAGTGGTGCTTGACCATAATATTGAGTTATTTTTTTTTGTGGCATCACACTCTGCAAGAAGTGGTTTTCACACAGGCTATAGGTGTAAACTTGTAAAACTCCTGTCCCTAAACAAATTTTTGATGTGATGTCAAGTCTGACACCAAATACATTTATATTTAATATGTTTATAAAAATAAAAGAAGTTTCTGATCTCAAATGCATTATAAAAGTTAATCTACTACCCATAACTTGAAATTCAAAAGCAGTATCACTTGCTAGGTATGCAATTGTGAATTTAAATACAATTTAAATAAAAAATTTAAAAATTGAGATGAAAAATAAAGCAATCTATCTGAAATGTAATGCCTATTTCTTATGGTGTCCCATTCACACCTCAGATCAATCATTTAGTGTAAATACTGTAACTTCTATTTCAGAAATGCAGATACAAACCAAATGATGTAAGTACATATCCCACCAATGCAATGTCAGTGTGTGTTGAGAATCAGCATGGGAACCCATGGCTGCTTCATACCATAGTCAGTAAGGAGAAAGTGCATGTGGGACTCAAATAATTTTGCCCCAGTGAGGGCCCCTAGTTTCCCCGTCCCCTCTGTCCTAACTGGGTCCTAATTCTTCATACAGCTTGATGGCCTATGTTTTTCTCAGATAGTTAATGGAAAAAATGAAATACTTTACATTTACTCCCACTTTTGATATGAAAAATAGGTTTTCAGTTGTTTTGCATCATGAATATTTTCAAACCTCTCTAAGAGGGAGAAATTATTGCTGTTTATGATCCCCTTGTAGTTCCAAGAATGGTTGATTTTTATTGGGGTCCTTGGTTGAATGATTTTCTCTTGGGATTTAAGGATGTAAGGAGTTCAAAGTTTTAGTTCTTGGATTGTGTATATTTATAAGGGTATAATGCAGGAAATGGGCAGCTGGAAAGACTTCTGAATAAGATGTGGCAACTTTTTACAAAGTTTCATATGAAGGGAACCTGGAACTGCAGCTTCGCTGTCTCAATATTCAAAGTGGGGTCAATTGCTAAAAATGATGCAATACAGAAGTCTCTGAAGATGTGAATGCCTAGCTCTTTGTTGCTCAAAGACTTACCTAGAATTTAGTTCCAGACAATAGAAAAAGAGGTTTTATGTCCTAATTCATTTTATGAAGCTAGTGTAACTGTAATACCAACATCAAAAATGCAGCACCTTTTTTGAAGAGGCTATCTTTTCTCCAATGCATTTTTTGGCACCTTTGTCTAATATCATAAATTAGTGCAATCAAATATAGATGTAAAATAGTATTAAAATAAAAAACCTAATGAAATTGATAATGAGCTTGTGAGACTGTTTTAAACAAATGCAAGAAGGAGAACAATCTATGCCAGCAATGTGAAGAGATATCACTAAAGATTACATTCATATTAAAATAAAAATAAAATGTTTCTTTAAGGAATAAATGTGTAACAATATAAGAAACGTCTGTATTATTTGAAAATGTACCCTATTGATTGCAAGAGACAATAGAAAAATACGATACACTATTTGATAGTTTATGAATAAAACTTTGTAGAAAACCTTTAAAAAAATACTAAGCCATGCTCATAGAAAAGAT